GGGCGTGTTAGAACGAGCTGTTTTAGGTAGGCGTGGTTGACTCTTAACTTTTATAAAGAATATCTCTTTGGATTTGAGACTTTAGTCTTTGCAACTTTACAGATCTTCTTTATGCACCAAGAGCTTGTAACACTTCAAAGAGAAAGGAAAAATTGAAATCACATCATATGACCCCTTTAAACAAGATGAAATCCAAACAAAAGAAGACTTGACTTGAAACAGACTTGACTTGGCATGGTCAGACTTGACCAGAGACAGACTTAGCATAAACAGCAACACAACTCACCAACAGCAGGTTACACAATTCAAGCTAGACAAAGAACAAAGGCAACATTAGGGCTATTTATATCAGATAAATCTAATCCCGTCCGGATATGTCTGAGATTCATCGCGTAATTGTTTGGTGATCCGATTCTCTGACCGCTCGCTCCACTTTCATCATGGATATAAGCCGTAACAATAACACGGTAACTAATAGCAGAGTTAGGCAAGAATCTAGTCGTATTGCAGTTTTCTCGATTGTTAATATAACTGATTTTAGTTGGCAATTTTCCCCCCAAACCTTTACGTTTTCAAAACAAAGACACATTTCTCAAAAAGTTTAACAATGAGTAAGTTAAACATTAGGTAGCAAATCAGAATCTCTGCATGCTAACAACGGAGAGAGGAGAGAGCTTAGCCAATCATCTACAGGGGTTTTATACTTGCACATGCAATATAATTACAGTACAGTATCAGTACATTAGATAATGGAAATTTCACTATTCTATATGTACCGTAAAATGTAGCACATGTTGTACACCTTCAAGCATGTGACTGTCAAATTTTATTTGTAACCATTTTTTAGGCCTATGTGTACTGCATTTTTGCAGAACTGAGAATGACTGCCTAGAGATATAGCTAGTCTTGTGTCAGGAGACCAAGAAACTGCTATAGTACTGCATACTGTAATGAAATTCGGCAGAATGTGCAGAGGATGCTAAATTTACTTTTTAAATGTTATTTTTTTACTGTACTGTATTGTGGTGCATGCCAAGTTCATACAATTCTTTGGTATGTGAACTTTTCTAGTGCTTTTCATCTACTGCAAGATTACTTTACACTAGTAAAATGAAAACGATTTTTTCCCCAAACGTTCATTGCTGAATTATACATCTGTATCTGTAATTTAATTTATCCCTGATAGCACACATACATCTCGGAGACGTCTATTTGACGTCTGCATTTACATCTGCAAGACGTATTTTTTACAGTGTTTGCTCATCTGCAATACATCTATAAGACGTTTTCTATCAGATGTCAAATAGATGTCTACTAGATGTCTTTAAGATGTTTATGATTTAGAATGTATGTAAAATTGACATCTTACAGACGTCTATCAGATGTTTGTACACAGCAGATGCTTTCCAGATCAAGTGATCTTTAACAGACATCTTGCAGACGTATTTGTGCTATTGAGCTCCAAAAATAATTCCTGAATCCTTGTAAGAGTTTTGTAGTTACAGTGTTATTGATCTCAGTATTCACTGGGCAAGAAAGTCATCTGTGTATTTGAATTGTGTGTAAGCATTAACAGTCTTTTTCAACTGCTTACACACAAAATCTTTACTTGTCACACAATTTCTGAAACCTGACACTCAAACACCAGAACTACACACCAAATCTGCAAAACCATACACTAATTCTCGACCTTTGACTCAGTTTTCAATTTCATAAAACACTTTTTGCAAAACACAACACACAATTCTCTATGTAACACACAAAACTCTAACAGGAATTACTATTATGGCAAAGGTGTTTGAAAATGTTTGCTTTTGAGATGTGTTTGTGATATTTTGAATGCAGTGCTTCATTTTGCAAGAGATGTGAGGCATTTTGGATTTTGTGTGTGCAATTCTTGGATTTGTGTGTAAAGTTTTGAAAAAAAGTGTGTGTAAAAGCAGTTGCAAACCTGTAAGAAAAACTGTAATAACTAGATTGAAGAGTTTGGAAGACAAATTTATGCTGGCTTGTCTTAAAGTCTTGTTTAAAAAACGTAAATGGTTTGGCCAGTTAGATGTTCTAGATGTTTGCTAAAGTGTTGCTAGTTGGTTGCTAGGATATTCTGGGTGGTTGCTAGGCTCTTGCTATGCAGTTGCTGGGGTGTTGCTAGAGTATATGTTGATAGAGTTTGTTCTGGGTGATTATAGACATTCCCATCTCTGTTAATAACAGAAAATCAAACACTGTTTTCAAATTTTTGTTGCTCTTAAACTTGCACTAAACATGATTATACCATCCAAGTAGCCTAATTTTAATTTTAATAGAACCGCATGCCTTCTTTAGTGATACAAGCTCAGAAACATTTATAACCTGTTGAAGTTTTTTATATTGTGTACTGCTATGCAGTTGCTGGGGTGTTGCTAGAGTATATGTTGATAGAGTTTGTTCTGGGTGATTATAGACATTCCCATCTCTGTTAATAACAGAAAATCAAACACTGTTTTCAAATTTTTGTTGGTCTTAAACTTGCACTAAACATGATTATACCATCCAAGTAGCCTAATTTTAATTTTAATAGAACCGCATGCCTTCTTTAGTGATACAAGCTCAGAAACATTTATAACCTGTTTTATGTTGTGTATTGACTTGGTGCCACGATAGATATTGAAATGTTGTTATTTATTTTTCATTTTAAACAGTATAGATGATTACTTAATGGTAATATAATATTTGTGAACACAACTGTGTATGTCAGACCATAAATCCCCCAAAACTATGCATGGGGGCTTGCTTTGGTGTTGCCACCCCTCATAGACCCCATGCCACCCCTTTGCCACCCTAAAAATTATTTTCTAGATCCGCCCCTGGGACAACGTGTTACATATATGCCATTATAATTTGTGTTTTATTTTTTAATTGTACGGAATTATAAAATAAAACGCAAATTATAATCGGGCCTGTTTTAGGCTTTTCCTTATTTTTATATTTTAGACATCCATCAATTATGGTGATGAAAAAAATGACTGGCCATCTCCTCATTGGCTGTGCCTTTAGAGAGAAATGCACCGATTACAGAGTTTAAATTTTCGATTTGAATTATTTCGTTTTAAAGTAGCAATTTAAAGCTTTCTATATATATTTATCATGTCTGTGAGGCAACTCGCGGAGTTTAGGCTCATCATTGTGAAGCGCTCCTGTTCAAGACCAAAACGGCAGAAAGCGTTTGTTTTCTTTATTTTATAAAACCACAACATTTTGTTGATATTGTGAGTGCACACAAATAAAACTAGACCCTTTACAGTTTAGAATGATTTATTACTCTTATCTTTATGAGCAAAAATGACTGCGTATTTTAAGTTGTTTCCACTGTTAGAAAAAAATGCAAGTGATCGTACTGGCGCCTCCATGTCCTGCAGAGAGCGCTTCAGCTTCCACTCTCCGCACAAACGATTAGATATGCGTCTAACAGCGCACATTTATCTAGGTTAAACATTTAAACATTGTGATATGCTTGAACTGTTTTATATGTAGATTTTATTTTAGGCAAATCGTGATGATTTGAGAAGGCTAAATTGATCAAACATAGGCTATGATCAATTCACTGTCTGCCGCTGGACGTTAGCCTACTTAAAAAAACAACAACTTACATTTAATAAAAAAAAATGCTCCAAACTTTTTTCTAAATTTACTTTATAAAAATAACGAAACAAAATATAATCACTTTTCTATTACATACAAAACTGAACTATTTGAATAGCTGAAACAGTACCTAGTATAAGCTTTTTTTGTGAAAAGGGGATAAAAAAGACGGGCTAGGGCCTATTTGAGGCCCATGCAGGGCTTTTAATCCACTTCATCCAACGCTGTTTTGTTCTCATCTGTGAGCATGCTCTTGATATATGTATTTTACAATTTTGTTGAGTTTAAAAAGTGTGACACATTCATTCTGCTCTCACTGATCTATACATATATATATATATATATATATATATATATATATATAATGTCGTTCTCCCTCAAACGAGTTCCATTGTGTAAGCTGCAGTATCTCCATCGCTGTAAGTCTTTGTGTGTCAGACAGGAAGCAGTCCAGATTCCCCGAACTCCAGGTACATTCGATCAGCGGAATCGAAAGGCCCGCTTATGCTAACAGTCGACGAACTGACTAAGGTACCTGTCCTTACTTCATTAACGCTTGCTTGTTTACAGTTGACTAAAACTATTGATTACTAGGCTTTAATATTTAAAACATGCATTAGATGTTGAAAATATTTGTCCCGAGCTACAGTACACTATGAACAATTACACCAGAAATGGTTGTCCCTTTTTGGATACTGCAGCTCTACATACATATGTATATACACGTACAATAACACACGTTATTAGGCTCTCACGAAAGTCAAGGAGGGCGCGTGGCCACCATTTAGGAAAATATACGTATAGCCTGAGTAACTGCAGCATTGCAGACGGGGCATTTGGGCTCGTTCCTCTCGCAGATGCGGTTGGCACACTCCATGCAGAACAGGTTGTGGCCGCAGGGCACCAGGGCCGCGATCACCTCGCTCTCGAAGCACACCGAGCAGTCCCGGCTGCCCTTGCGGCTCGTCCCAGATGAGGATGAAGAGGACGACGAGGAGGACGAGGAGATGGACGAGTCGGAGGGAACGCCAGGGTGATGGGATCCCGGAAGCGCCGGGGAGTAGCCGGGGAAGCTGAGGGTGCCTCCGCCCGGGTCGCTGCGCACCCGGCGCGCCAACGGGTGCTCGGCCGTGCCGTTGGCTTGGTGCAGTGGCGGGGACAGCCTGGGCTGGCTGGTGCATCCCACCCCGTTGGCTCTACGCTGGCCGTTGGCATTCGTGGAAGAACTGGCGGGGAAAACGGGCGACGAGACCGAGGTGCCTTTGGCGGCGCGCTCGTACTGCGACCACATCAGGCCCGGTGGCGCCGGAGGGGGGTCGAATCCTGGCGACTGATCAAAGGTCAGATCAGTGCAATCGGGCGAGATCACCTCGCCGCCGTAGACAAATCCATTGGCGTTGGCATTCATGTTGATGTTGTTGTTGTTGTTGTTGTTGTTGTTGCCATTGCTGGAGGCAGTGTAGCTGAGGGCGGGGCTGGGCGGGCTGTAATCGGCCAGCCGGGAGCTGCTGTTGTTGCCGCCAAAGTATGAGTCGGTAGAGGCACTCCCCAGAGAGCTGGAGCTGTCGTTGCGGTAGTTAGAGAAAGGCTTGCGACCCGAGGTGGGCGTGGCGCTGGAGCTCGGCTTGCTCCACAGGCTGGCGTTCCCGTGCAGGTCGAAGCCCACGTCAGTGCCGTTGGCGTGGAAGTCGTTCTCGTCGGTGAACTCGATCAGGCCGCCCGTGCGCATGGCGATGTGTGCTTCGATCTCCTCCCTGGCCCGGTCCACGTTCTCCGGCATGCCCGTCACCTCAAACACGGGCTCTTTGTCCCGGCTGGGCGTGACGATGTAGGTGTGCGTCTGCTGCTGGATGCGCTTGATGGTGGCCCCCTTGGGTCCGACCACCAGTCCCACCACGCGATAGGGCACCCGCACCTGAATGGTGGTCTGACCGGGCAGGTTGGGCGGCCCGGGCACCGTGGCGTTCCCGTTCAGGCTGCTGTTTTTGTTCCGCGAGGCTCGGATCATGGAGAAGTGCTCCGCCGCTGAGATGATCTCCCTCCGAGCCATGGCTACATCCTCTCGCCTGCCGGTCACAACAAAGACCGGCTCCTCTCCCCGCACCGGAGTTTTGATATACGTATTGGTCTTTGCTCGCAGGGCTTTAATCTTGCAACCTACAATTGTGAGAAAAACGGAAAAAAGCACAAATGAGACAAAGCAAACACAATCAGGCACAAATCAAAAAGATGCAGGATGGGTGCAAGCGCACAGTCTTTGGGGGACAACAATTTCGCCTCTCTTTTTTTCGGTGCGGCATAAATTCAAACCACATGCTGGGCTGCTTGACATACAGGGTCAAAAATAGCACAGAGGGTGGGAAAAAAATGCATGCTGAATTCAGGATTTTCCAAAGAGTCGCTCTAATCATACTGTCCACAACTTGCTTTGTCACTTCCTTACATCTCAGATACCCTACAGAACATGTTGTCACCTAGATCCAGGCTATATAATGGTGTTTTCCTGGTTGAAGAAGTCTATACCTAATAGGCTATAAAGAGGGTGTAAACAAAGTCCACTGAGACAAAGAAAGAAAGAGCCGCTGCCTGAAGAAAATGGCACTTCGCTCTTGATATACAGGAATGTCGTGTATTTAAGAGGATGACACATTAAAGGTAGATATGCATGGGTTGTGTCAGCGCTCCCTCGCTTGCGTTTGTTTGGTCGGACATAAGGAGGACAGTGCAGCTGAAAATAGGCTATAACCTACATGCACATGACTACACATGCTACAATAACAGCACGCACGCAATTGTTTGAAGAGGGAAATAACGGTGATTACCTTGTCTGCCGACGATTTCAGCAACATGCTCGGAGCTGGGAACGGGAACGCATTCGGTCATGTTCACGCTCTTTTTCCTGGGCTCGTTGTCATACAGGGAATTTTCATCGTTATCCAGACCGAGCAGCGAGAGCTGGTCCAGAGCGATCTGCAGGGCTCTTTGGTCATCCAGGGCGTCCCCCTGCCCGCCGCTCCGCTCCATGTCGGCGAACAGCGAACTAGGCATCTTGGATGGGTCTGGAAACAAAGAGGGAAAACTTACAGGAGGAGGGTGGGATTGAGCTGGGTAAAAAAGACGGGCTAGGGCCTATTTGAGGCCCATGCAGGGCTTTTAATCCACTTCATCCAACGCTGTTTTGTTCTCATCTGTGAGCATGCTCTTGATATATGTATTTTACAATTTTGTTGAGTTTAAAAAGTGTGACACATTCATTCTGCTCTCACTGATCTATACATATATATATATATATATATATATATATATATATATATATTGTGTGTCTATTTCAAAAGACTGTACATATAGTGGAAGGGCATTGTTTTGGATTAAAACATCTGCTAAATGAATAAATGTGTGCATGCAGAAGAGTGTCAGCTGATACAGCAGCAAAAGGAGGAAGAACTTGTTAATCCCATTTCTTAGAAATTAAATGTTTCATAAGAAAATATGGGTGTGGGGATCCAGCAGCCTCCACATTTTTTTGGCGTGTTATTGTGTCAGTATGCATATTTAGAGCTCTGCCTAACAGTGCCAAAAGAGCACACCTCATTTAGCTTGGCCTGCATCTGTCAACATGCAACAGAATTGCATGCATTTGCTGAAATCATGCAAAGTGCCAGGCAGCACTGTACATGATTGATGGTGTTGTCCACATGTCGGTTTCTCCTCTAACTTTAGTAAATCACCAATCCAAAGGGGCCTTTAACAGGCCATTAACACACAACACTGACACAATCCATCTTCACAGTCTCACACACACTCACAAATCCTCTTATATGCTGCACAAGGATGTTGTCATCTGCTTTTGAAATATATATTTGAGAATATATGGATCCAAAATACTGTCAGGACAAAGAGCTTGGGATCAAATGCGTAAAAAAAACAAATCTGTTCTGACCGATTTTCGATCTTAGCTGTCAATTGTAGGCTAGAAGACAAATTAATCCCAGCTAATGGCTTGTGCTGCAATAAGAAACCTAAATTCAGAGGAACCTGCATGCCATATAATTTTATTACTAATGGAGCTAGAACAGCAGGTGATATACAAGTAAATAAATGTATAAAATCACTTTCACGCAAAAATGATTTCGTGTAGGACGAGTGAAGCATGAAAACCAACAAATTCAGACATACAGAGACCAAAAATGTGCTTGATTTGAGCATGTTAATTGAAATATGCTAATTAAATAAAAGTTATCATGAATGTTTGACTCTTGTACAGTGTTTCAGTATCTCACAATCTAATAAGGTAGGCCTATTAATTTAGTAGCTCCAGCCATTATTAGATCCTACCAGCAAGAGGCACTAGTAGACTGCAAAACAGTTGAACAGAGCCCTGGGTAATTTCACTTTCCCTTCAAAATTCACACACAAAAAAATTCATTTGAACATCTTGATTAAGAGCAGGTGCAGTTTAGTCATGGTATATAAGGAATGACTCATCTTACAGAAGCATGCTGGTTTCTTGAAAATCACCAAGTGATCATCTATTCCCTTTGGTCAATGTTGCTCACTATTATGTCTTTTTAAAATCTTATTTATAATTTAGTTCAGATGTTCATCTGTCAAAAGCTACAGAATTTGTAAAGGAGACCACGTATAGTACACTTCACCTAGATGAATAATACATTATTAATAATTGCTAATATAATTTTTTTTTCAAAGGTTAAAAATAAAAGCTGTAAATTATTTTGCTCACAGTGCTGTATATACTGATACCTGGAATCAGAGGCATAAATATTTATCCTGTGTTTTTTTAAGAAAGACTTTCTAGAGTTCACAGCCCAGACGAGTGATTTCGTCTATTAGAAAGTCCACATCCTCCCTCTGAGTGGCTGGGTTGGAAAAAACACAACGGAAGAAATTCACTTTGTCTTCCAGAGGTTGATAGCCAATCATTGTGAATCCTTCCTCCATCATCTTTGTCTTGATTTTTGGAGCCACCTGTGGGAATTCATTATGTCAGCTTATAAATAGAGAATGGGAACAGCTCTGTAAATAAGCAAACTTAGACTAATTTGTCTTCCTGCATTTACTGGTTAATTAAGAAATGAAAAGGCTTCATTTCTTGACTTACCATGTGAAGTTCTCTGTCTCGCTCTGGGCCTGGAGGAATGCTTTGCAGTCGTTTTGGGAGATACCAAAAGCAGACATTACTGTGTTCAGGCTGAAATAATACATACACTCTTAAAAATAAAGGTGCTTCACGATGCCATAGAAGAGCCTTTTTATCTAAATGGTTCCATAAAGAACCTTCAACATCTGAAGAACCTTTCTGTTTCACAAAAGGTTCTTTGTGGCGAAAGAAGGTTCTTCAGATTATAAAAAGGTAAGAAAGAGATGGTTCTTTAAAGAACATTTAACTGAATGGTTCTTTGTGGAACCAAAAATGGCTCTTCTATGGCATCGCTGTGAATAACCTTTTAAGCACCTTTATTTTTAAGAGTGTATGAGCGATGAGCTCTTATCAACTGTTAGAATTATTCAGCAATTTTCATTAGGGATGCACCAAATATTCGGCAACCGAAATTATTCGGCTGAAAATAGCAAAAAAAATATTTCGTTGTTTGGCCGAATAATATGTACCGAACAATGACGAATGCGATTAAGTAGAGGCACGCACTAATGCTGCAAACATCGGCAGTGTGAAAGTATTTAAAACTATCAGAGAAAGACGCAGAAATCATTACAAGCACGAAGCACCGACAGCGAGAGAATGTTTAGTGCTGCAACACATGTCTCTGATGAGAAGATGAAGTGGCTAATGCTGGTGGTTACTGTATGATGATTGAAATCGCGAAATTACCTCAAACGATTAGTAAATAAACTGCAGAATGTTAGATTTTGTAATGCACGCACAAATTGAATGCATTCTGACGGCGCTGCACGAGCTCGCAGCGCCAGGGTTCAAAGGCCAAAGCGCAAGGAAAATCTGTGCTGAACTTGTTACTCCTCAGTTGCTCAGTAACATTTTTGTGAATTTTTTAAAGGCACGTGACAATGTGATGCGTGCGACAAACATCTTTCCAAATTCGTATTGAGAATCATTTATAAATCTGCATGCTGTTGTCAACAAAAAGAAGCACTGAGATCTTCCTGCGGGCTTCTGCCAAAATAAAAGCAGAGCAAAAGCAACAACTCCATCGACATTCATAAATGATAGTATTGTAATTTTACTGTCGTTCTGTAAAATAAAATGTAAGATAATAATAATGATAATAATAATTACCCTACAACAGCTCTATTAATACATTTATTATAACATTCACACATAGTGTTCAAATTGGGATTCGTAATATACAGGTGCATCTCAATAAATTAGAATGTCGTGGAAAAGTTCATTTATTTCAGTAATTCAACTCAAATTGTGAAACTCGTTGTGACGAGAGGGGCGGGGCCGAGAGCCGTGGGAACGGAGCGAGGCCGGTGGAATTCTCTTCTGCTCAGTAAGGCTGCCTTTATTTGTACAGTAAAAAAAAACATGCCTGATTCAAGTCTCAAAAATGGGCCAAAAATATTTTTTTTACTTATTAATTTTAAGTTAAATTGTGCTTTGTTGGTATAATGTCTGCTAGTATAATATTTTTAAATAGTTGTTTTTTAAAATAGATTTTTAATTTGAAAAGCAGGACAAAACAGTAATAAGCACATTTTGGCAATTTAATTAATTCAATGGTGAAAAAAAATTGCAAAATAGGCCTACAGGGGGGAAAAATTTGAAAAACTGTGTTCGGTATTCGGCCTTCGGCCCAGTGTTTCATTTTATTCGGCTTTGGCTTCGGCCAAGAATTTTCATTTCAGTGCATCCCTAATTTTCATCTTAAAATATGTTGAAAGTTTACAGAAACATGGCACTTACCTTTCCTTTGAAGACAAGCTGAAAGTCTGTTCTTCTCTTCAGTTTGTAGTAAAGATACTCTGCATTTTCCAGGCAGTGGTTGATCTGCGCTTCAAAACCCCCAGAACCCTACAAAGAATGTATTTAATATTTGCTTTGTCTATAAGATAAGAAAAGAAAAAAAAGTGTTTGGATAGTTGTGCTTCAAGGTTTAGTGCTGTTTCTGTCATTTTGTCAAATCTGTGTAGCCCCTTTGGGTGTTTTGTGAAGCACAATAGAGAAATAAACATTTTAAAAGTAGATGAAATTAAAGGCTCATGCACAGAAAAATAATAATAGAATATAGTTATATAAAATAATAAATAAAATATGTTTTTCTTAAATAATTGGTGTACAATTTCTACTTCTCAATTCTGGATATTTCAAACAATCTTTCTTCTCCACAAAAAAAAGCATTTTTTTTTTTTTATATATATGGGAGCTGCCATTTTCCAGCTCACATTTCTGATGGTGGTTGAAGACACATTTAGTTTGAATAAGGAGATTGTCTGCCATACCTTTGCCTTCCACATGAGCCACAGTTTGAAGACGTCTACGTGCCGTCCACACTGAATGCTTTTGTCCCCAGTGTCGTAGGACACATCATAGTGCTTGTCAGGTTGGAAGAGATACTCGGCACACAGCTGATTACATTCCTGCAGGAGGCCCTGAAAACAACACATGGCCTTTACATAGCCTTGGTTTTCAATACCTCCTCAAGCATCAATGACTCTTTGCAGCCTGTTGTGATAGTGTATATATGACTTCCTGGTTTGTCCTGAGCAGTAAAGATGCTCACTGTTCTTGACAAAGCCTTGAATCCTTCTTTGACTGTCTTGCATGCTCTGCAGTCTGCAATCATTTGTGCTCAGATATTGATATTGAGATCCAACTGTGTCACTCAGGAAAAATGAGGGAAAAATAGAACCATCACAAAAGGCTGAGACTACCGACACCGAGGGACACTGTTAACTGAACCTTCACAATGTTAAATGTCCTTCTGAACAAAATCAATTTGTGTAAATTCACCTATATATATGATTAATCGCATCCAAAGTAAAATTTTTTGTTTACATAATATATGTGTGTGTACTGTGTATATTTATATATAAATACACACACATGCATGTATATATTTAAGAAAAATATGTTAAGTTTATACATTTAAACTATTTATATGTAA